TGGCGGTCTTCCTCCCGCCCTGCCTCCTTCTCGACCTCCGCGTCCTTCCTCATCCTGCTACTCCTTTCTTCCCCTTTCTCCTCCTTGATCTTTGCTACTTCCCCCTCTTCCTCGGCCTCATTCCCCCGCCGCCTCCTCCCCGTTCCCCTCTCCCCCTTTCTTTTTATCCCTCTTCTCCCTCCGTCTCCTCCTGCCTCCTTTTAGCCTCCTCCTACCTCCTCCTGCCTCCTCCTCTCCTTTTCCACCTGTCTCCTCTCCTGCTCCTGCTGCTGCTGCTGCTGCTGCTGCTGCTGCTCCTCCTCCTCCTCCTCCTCCTCTTCCTCCTCCTCCTCCTCCTCCTCCTCCTCCTCCTCCTCCTCCCCCCTGCAAGTAGGCCCTCGCCGTTATCTACCCGCTACCCACTGACCAGTGGTATATCGTGGCGGTCGTGGTCCGACAGCGCGGCCGGCGCGCCCTTGCAGATACAGCCGCGGTTGACCCCAGCAAGCCCAAGGAACCTGTGGCAGAGGTGTATATAAAGGACCGCCTGGGGTGCAATCTCACACTCTTTTCCGAAGCGTGGTTCCTGGTGACGTTGCTAGCTTTGTGGGCTTGTCTCCACTCGAGAGAAACTGGTGGAAGCCTGTGCCACCGCGTGCGGTCCTGGGTCCAAACCTTGGCCGCGGGATGCTGTGTCTGCGGTCCCTTGGCCAGTGGTCGTGGTAGGCGGTTTCACCCTGCATGGCTCCCACCGGTTTGGATGCTGAAATCGTTCTTGCATGTGCGATCGTGCAGCCACGGTGATGGCCGCCAGCTCGAAGCTGGCCGCTGGCCCCCCAGTCAAAAGCGACGAGAAGTTTGGCCAGAATCTCGCAAGGCCAGATTCCCAGACATGCAGGCCCGCCAGAGACGGCCTCAGCAGCTAGCGGTGGCTACAGTCCAGGTTTCCAGCAGCGCGGATCCGACAGATACCCCATTCGTTTGCTGAAGCCGTCCAATCGGTTATCCCTCTTTCCCCTCATTATACTCCCCCTCCTCAATCCTCCTCATCCCCTCCTCTTTCATATAAGCAACTCCTCGTCGCACCACCAGACACTTCGGCAGAGCGGCGCACGCGATGGTCGTGATGTGTGGGATCTCCAGCAACTACACGTATAGAGGGCAGTCCGTTTTCAAAATGAGGTTTTCGCATTGGCGCCACGCGCATTCGTCGTGAAAGAACGACTGGGCAGTCAAAATGAGGTTCATACATCAGTGCCCCGCGCATTTGTCGTAAGTCGTGTCCAGCAGATACGCTGTTTTCAATACGCGGCTCTTGTCGTATTGTCGTGGCGCCGTTCACATATGTTGCTCGAGTGCGTTGCTTGTGTTGGGCATTTTGGCCCGAGCTCCTTTTGTCGCGGGATAGTTTTGCGCAGCGTGTTGAACAGCGTGTTGGGTCCTGGTGTTGAAGAGACAGCGCCCGGCGTCACTCACCTCATTTCCTTCCCCTCCTCCTTCCTCCGCATCCCTGCCTTTGCTCTCCGCGTGCAAATGGCGGCACAGCCCTCGCACGTTTCGTGGCTCCGTAGGGAGCTCCACCGACCACGCAAGCGACAGCGCCCGCACGGTGTTGCCACCCAGTCATGGCACACCGCCCGCTCTCTTCGTGGCCCCGTAGGAAGCTCCACCGAAGGCCCAAGCGGCAGCGCCCGCATGGCGGCGACGCCTCCATTTCAGCCCCATCACGCGTTTCGTGGCCCCGTAGGGTGCTCCACTGAAGCCCAGTGGCAGCGCCCGAATGGCGGTTCCGCTCCACTTTGGCACACTTCTAACACGCTCCGTGGCCCCTGAGGGAGCTCCACCCACCATGTCAGCACTCCCCTCACACGCTTCGCGGTCCCGCAGGGAGCTCCACCGAAGCCCCAGTGGCAGCGCCGGCATGGCGGCGCCGCACCCTTTTGGCACACCCTTCACGCGTTTCGCGGCCCCGTTGGGGGCTCCATCCACCGCGCAAGCGGCAGCGGCGGCATAGCGGCACCGCTCCATTTCAGCACCTCATCACACGCTTCGCGGCCCTGCAGTGAACTCCACCGAGGACCCCATTGGCATAGCCCGCATGAAGGCGCCGCCACATTTTATCACACCCATCACGCGTTTCGTAACCACGTAGGGATATGTACCGACCGCCCAAGCGGCAGCGCCCGCATGGCGGCGTCGCACCATGTCGGCGCACCACGCACACGTTTCGTGGCTGCGTAGGTGGTAGCTCCACCGAAGCCCCAGTGGCAGCGCCCGCATGGCGGCGCCACCCTAATTTGGCACACCCCTTGCCCATTTCGTAGCCCCGTAGGGAACTCCACCGAAGGCACACGCTTAGGCCTCACGGCCCCACGGACAACTGAATACAATATGTAATGTCTTTGCAAGTGGTATGTCAGGATGCCGAGGGTGCGGTGCCGCCACCGCGGGTGCAATCATTGCATTCTGCGCGACGGCGCAGCAGGCAATTCTTCTGGTGACGCGCACACGTGCTCACCCATCGGCGTCCTGCAGCGCGCTAGCGGCGGACTGCTTCAGTCGTGTCAACGCCTCCTCTCCCTCCTCCCCCGTCCTCCCCCTTCCTCCTCCTCCCCCTTCATCCTCCTTCCTCTCCCCTTTCCTCCTCCTTCCTCCTCTGCCCCCTTCTTCCTCCTCCTCCTCCTCCTCCTCTTCCTACTCCTCCTCCTCCTCCAACTCCTCCTCCTCCTCCTCCTCCTCCTTCTCCTCCTCCCCCTCCCCCTGCCTCCCTCCTCCTCGCCCCTCCTTTCGCCCCCTTCCTCCTCCTTCCTCCTCCTCCTCCTCCTCCTCCTCCTCTCCTCCTCCTCCTTCCTCCCACTTCCTCCCCGTTTCTCCTCCTCCTCCTCCTCCTCCTCCTCATCATCATCATCATCATCCTCATCCTCCTCCTCCTCCCCCTGTCCCTGTTCTCTTCCTCCCCCTTCCTCCTCCTTGCTGTCGCATCGGGGGGTTGTCGGGCGCCGTGTTTCCGCCCACTCCGGGACCGTTGCTCCGACGGCTGGGCGATGCAACGCGTCCATGGGCAATTTCTGGATTCCCCTCCTGAGGTCCGCCTGGCCAGCAGCTTGCGCCCAGTGCTTTCCGACACTGGGGACGCAGTCTATGACAGCACGAAAGAGCGTTTCGCGCGACCCTCTGGTAAATTAATGTGTCGTGACATCGCCCTCGTCTGTCCGAGAGCTTAAGCGCGCGAAGCGCGGGCGTTTGTAGCATCTGTATGCGTACGTGCATGCATGCATACATTCAATTTCATGTATGTATGTACGTATGTTTGTATATACGTATGTGTGTTCATGAATGTCTGTATGTATGCATGTATGCATACCAGTGTATGGATGTATGCACGTATGTATGTGGGTATGTATGCATGCATGCCTGTCTGTCTGTATGCCAGTCTGCCTGTCCGTCTGTCTGACTGTCTGTCTGTAGTATGTATACAGACTACATTTATGAATGCGTGTGTGCATGTATGCATGCATGCGTACATGCATGGAGGTATGGCTGTATGTGTACATGGTTGTATGTATGCATGTATGTATGTATGTATGTGTGTATGTATGTATGTATGTATGTATGTATGTATGTATGTATGTGTGTGTGTATGTATGTGTGTATACATTGTATGCACGTGTGCGTGTATATATGCATGCATGTATGTGTGTATGTATGGACGTACGTGCATGTATGAGTGTATGGTATGTATGCGTGTGTATATGTGTATGTCTGTACGGGTGAGTACATGTGTGCATGTACGTATGTATGCATTGATGCATGCATGCATGCATGTATGCAGCATGTATGAATGCATGTATGCATGTCTGAATGTATGTATGTGTGTATGTATGTGTGTACGTGTGTTCGTACGTGTGTATCTAGGGTTGTACGTATGTATGTATTTATGCGTGTATGCATGTATGCATGTGTATGCATGTATGTATGTACGGAATGCGTGTTCTGGTATGGTATGTGATTGTACGTTGTGTTGCGACATGGTATGCTATGTTATGGTATGTTTCTGTGGATATATATATATACACATACAGAGGCATGAATGCATGGGTGTATGTATATGTGTATGTTGATATGTATATATGGATGCACGGATGGATGCATGTATGTATGTATGCAGGTGTCTGTCTGTCTGTCTGTCTGTCTGTTTGTGTGCCTGTCTGTCTGTCTGTCTGCCTGCCGGTCTGTATGTACGTATGCATGTATGCATGTATGTATGTGTATGTGTATGCGTATGTATGTGTGTATGTAAGAATGTGTGTACGTATGTACGTACGTATGTATGTATGTTCGTGTGTACGTGGATACGTATGCATGTATGCATGCATGCATGTCTGCATGTATGTTTGCATCAATGTGTGTATGTATGTGTGTGTATGTAAGTCTGTATACATGTATGAATGTGTGTATGTATATGTGTATGCATACAAGCATGTTTGTATGCATGCATGTATGTATGTATGTGTGCATATATGTATGTATGTGCGTCTGTGTAGCAGCGCAAGTTGATCAACAGGTTCGTGGCATGTACGTTGCCCGAAGCCGTGTTGGTCCAAAATCACTCGGTCATGGTAGCGGAGCCTAGCTCCGATCAGACCGCTACCGATCCATATCAGACCGCTTCCAAGCGGAGCGCGCGCGCAGCGCGCGGCGATATCGACGAAGCTGGTAGAGACTGGTTTGTGGTGGACGTGGTGGCTCGCTGGCGCCAGCTGGTGCGCAGCGTGCGGAGGACCAGGCGACTGCAGCGAATCTGGGGTCATTTGGGACAGTTCCTGCAGATCGTGTGTGACAGGGACCTGCGAGAGGATCCGAACCGTGCTGTAGGGGGACGATGGCGGAGGAGCAGCTGAGGCGACTGTCGGAGCAAGTACAGGGCCTGACTACGGAGCTCACGCGCCAGAGGGACGTAGTGGCGACACTACAG